CTCTTCATTTGTCTTTTAATTTTCTAATACCTTAAAGTACACACACACACACGCACACACTTTTTTTTTTCTGTTTGTTAATCCTCACCTGAGGATATTTTTCAATTGGTTTTTAGAGAGAGTGGAAGGGAGGGGGAGAGGGAGAGAGAAACTTTGATGTGAGATAGACACATTGATTGGATGCTTCCCACACGCATACAGCCTGGCCAGGGCCAGAGGTCGAGCCTGCAAATAAGTTACATGCTCTTGACTGGAATTGAACCCGGGACCTTTTAGTATGAGGGTTGATGCCCTATCCATTGAGTCAAATTGGCTGGGTCAACACTTTTTTCTTTTTTGGCATTCATAGTATTTTTCTAGTTTTCTGAGCAGGAATATTGGTCTGAGTTGTCTAGTCTGCCCTTACCAGAAGTGAGAGTCTTGCCATTGTCTTTTGCTGGATCTTTGTAATACACGTTTTAAGAAAAAAAAAGTTTTTTTGTTTGTTTGTTTTTGTTTGGTGCTGAAATCCGGGAGCAAACCAGGAAAAAAAAAATGTTTTATTGACTTTAGAGCAAAGGAGGGAGAGGGAGAGAAAGATAGAAACATCAATGATAACAGAGAATCATCTATCAGCTGCCTCCTGCCTCCTTGATCTCCTACTGGGGATCAAGCGGGAAACCTAGGCATGTGGCCTGACCAGGAATGAAAATGTAACCTCCTGGTCACGGATTGATGCTCAACCACTGAACCACATTGGCTATGCTGCCATTCTTAATCTGTTTCTCTGTCTAGTTCTGCGCCTTCCATTTCAATCATCATATTAATGCTGGACTGGTATTTAAAATTGACTTTCCCAAGATTTTCCTATATAATAAAAGCCTAATATGCTAAGTGTCTGACCATTTGATCATTCAACCAGTTGCTGTGACACGCACTGACCACCAGGGGGCAGAAGCTCTGACCGGTAGGTTAGCTTGCTGCTGGGATCCAGCTGATCAGGACTGGGCAAGACGGGTTGGACACTCCCTGGAGACCTCCCACTATCCCTCCCGGGCCCTGATTGGCCCCGATCAGGACTGGATGAGATGAGCAGGACATGCCCTGGAGCCCTCCCGCGGCCCCTCCCTGGCCCAGATCCATGGGGTAGCTCCGGCATTAAGCGTCTTCCCCCTGGTGGTCAGTGTGCATCACAGTGACTGGTCGTTATGCCATAACCGTCGCTTAGGCTTTATTATATGGACTAGAGGCCCAGTGCATAAAATTCGTGCGCGGGAGTTGGAGGGGAGAATCCCTCGGCCTGGCCTGTACCCTCTCACAATCTGGGACCCCTTGGGGGATGTTGGAGAGCCAGTTTCAGCCTGATCCCTGCAGGCCAGGCCAAGGGACCCCACCGGTGCACCAGACTTCTAAAATACATATATAGTAAGTGGTGTGCCAGGATTCTATGTCTTCTGACTTTATAGCTATTGCTCCTTCCCCCACTGAGGCCTCCTTGTTGTTCTCAGTTATCTTCTTAGGAAGGTAGGGTGCTTTGTACTGGAGAACAGGGAATGAACAAATGAACATGGTTCTTTTTGTCTTTGAGGGAAATTTCTCACCAAAAGATTCTTTGTGCAAATTAGAGACCACCTCCCAGTATTAAAACTAAAAGGGCGAGACCACTCATTTCTCAGTCTTGCTTGTACCTACAGTTCAGGCACAAGACCTAGACCCAGTTAATTAGATTTACCTGCCCCAAACTTCTAATGGTAATCCAAAAAAAAAACAAACACCAAGTAGATTAAAATTTCTTTTTCTGGTAATAGCATTGGTGGCTGCAGCACCCAATTTCCAGGGGCTCCAAGAGCAAGGTGCTGACAGCATGGTTGGGTGGCCAGTGCTGGCAGTGTTGGTAGTACAGGTTGGTGCAACTCTTATGTAACTGCACAGGAGAGAAAAGGTACTTTTAATCTCAAAAGCACATTTCTAGTTAGAAGTTAATGACATGAGAAAGGCGAAAAAAAAATTCCCATTCGTTTTGCCATATTTGGGTGTAACATACTGATTAAGAAAGCTCTCTCCTCTGAAATATATAAAGTTAAAGCCTTTGAATACTTGGATCATTGACTCTGTTTTGAAATGTTAGTTTCTCATGTTCTGTTTTTGGTTAGCTGAAAGGAGAGCATCAAGGTAACAGTAGCTTCTTTTGTTTCAGGAGAATGACCCATCTGTGAGACTGAAAATTGCTTCATTATTGGGGCTATTGTCAAAGACTGCAGGATTTTCTCCAGACTGTATTATGGATGATGCCATTAACATCCTGCAGAATGAAAGTAAGTTGCAATTTAAAAGCTGTACACTTAGAGCAGAAATCGTTAGTTCCTTTTGTATAGATTTTAAAACAGAATATTGTTGTGTTGGCATTAAAAAGGAATTTGAGGATGATTCAATAAAACTATGTACATATATTTACATTAGAGTTAAAAATGTAGTTTTTGTCTCTTAATAGCTATCATTTATGGGCCTGTACCTAGTGCCATATGCTTCAAGTATTTTGCATATGATAGAAGATAGATGTCATTGTCATTTTATAGGTGGGAAAACTGACGTTCAGAGAAGTTGACTAACTTTTTAAAGATTAAGTTGTATGGGACAGAGATGATGTTTAGGTGACTGTGCACATTAACTCAGAAACCATGAGAGATGCTGCACTGGTCATATGTGGTCTCTGAGTTCTCTCCCTATAAAAGTGACATCTCATAGGTCTCACATATTGTTGTTACTTTTTCTGTTTGTTGCTTGTTGATGTCCAATAACATTATTTCTGTGTTTAGGTGAAATGGAAAATACGTCACCTTTTTAATGTTTTTTATTATTTTTCTGTGGGTTTTTTTTTAATGTACAAGATTATATTATAGAGTTAATGCCTCAGTTACCTTACTGTCTATAATAATAAAAGCATAATATGCTAATTAGACCAGACAGCTGAACAACCTTCTGGATGTCATTCCAGATGAAGCTGTGTTGGCGGGGGCCAAGGCAGAGGCAGTTAGGGATGATCAGGTAGGCAGGCAGAGTGGTTAGGGGTGATCAAGCAGGCAGAATGATTAGGGGAGATCAGGCAGATAGGGGAGCAGTCAGGCAAGTGGTTAGGGGCAAGCAGTTAGGGGTGATTAGGCAGGCAGGCAGGCAGAGTGGTTAGGGGCAATCAGGCAGGCAGGCAGAGGTGGTTGGGGCGATCAGGCAGGCAAGCAGGCGAGCAGTTAGGAGCCAGCGGTCCTGATTGCAAGAGGGTGCAGACTGGGCTGAGGGACCCCCCGCCCCCGCCTCCCTGCATGAATTTTGTGCACTGGGCCTCTAGTTGAAAATTAAATGAAAAGAAAAGTTCTTTGGCCCTGGCTGATGGCTGTTGTGGCTCAGTTGATTGGAGCATTGTCTGATACACCAAAAGGTGGAGGGTTCAATTCCTAGTCAGGGCACATAACCCAGGTTTTGGGTTCAATCTCTGGTTGGGGCGTGTGTGGGAGGCAACTGATAGATGTTTCTCTCTCTTTCTCTCTCTCTCTCCCTCTCCCTCTCCCTCTCCTTCTCCCCTCCTCTCTAAAAATCAATTTAAAAAAAATATTTTTAGTGCAGATGGGGCCGAAACCGGTTTGGCTCAGTGGATAGAGCGTCGGCCTGCGGGCTGGAGGGTCCTGGGTTCGCTTGTGGTCGAGGGCATGTACCTGGGTTGCGGGCACATCCCCAGTAGGAGATGTGCAGGAG